CTGTCACTTGTCATGTTTGTAGTATAGTGTAGGCTCTTGAGTTCTCTCGTATCTCTTCTTGTTTTTGTAAAGACTTCTTTGACTCTTGATTTCTTTCTCTCTCTCTGATCTTCTGACTTATGGTTTTCCAATCCCTTTCTTGTGTGATGATCCTCATATTTATAGAGGGCCATCTATGTGATAAGAGTGTTTCATCTTCAATTTGAATTTCAAATGCAATGATAACACTGCTTGAATTTGGCATCATGATATCTGATTAACCATATTGACTCTTTGGATTCCATCCCATGTGGTGTCCTTTCGGTAGGCTCTACGGGTGTCTTCTTTGTAGGCTCCACATGTCATTTGAGTATCTTAAATAACGTTCCTGAGATATAATGTTGTTTTATTTATGCACTTCAACAAATCAAATTGATCATTTTAGGAAGTGATTACCTACAACAATCCTATCATAGGCTCTATGCATATCATTAACTGATTGACTATATTTGAAATTTGAACATAAATTTGGTAGAAATTTATGTGCCTACATGCATGGCGGCTTTCTAGAGTAGTGGACCAAGTCAAAGCTACAAGGATAGGCCTTAGTCGTTGGAGGTCAAAACCGTTTCCTAGTTTTGGGGGATTAAGCTAAGGATCAAGGACACATGTCACTGGGAAGAACTGCCACGTTCTTGGTAGTTGAACAGAATTAGGGGCTTCCTCAACACTATATAAAGGGCTCCAAGTGCAACATTTGAAGGGGTCCTGCATCAATCAACTTCATCAAGAGTTTTTCAATTCATCTTAGCTTCATAACTTATTTATCTTAGCTTCATAACTTAAGTATCTTAACTTAGCTTCATAGATTCTTTATCATAACTTCATAGGTTAGTTCCTTTAGTTTCATAGCTTAGTTATCTTAGATTATCAATTATACTTCATTCTCAATTAATGCAAGTCACGATTTTAGTCTAATTATCTTTAACACCTATAAATTTGTAAAAGTCCTCTTCATTGGGACAAGATCCAAACCAGTGGCGGCTTCTCTTAGCTACACACGGTCATTTTTCTATGTTAGAAGTCAGAAGTGTTCAACAATTCCTACACCTTGAACTAAATTCACAAGTTCTGACACACCCGCAATTAATAAAGAAACTTTTTTTTGTTCACACCTGCAGGACTTCTTGAGTGGCAACATGAATTTCTGAAGAGTGTAAACAAATACCAAAAAGTTGAAATAATCATAGAAATACCAATCTTAAAGCCTTAAGTTAGGATTAATGAAAAATAAACTAAATCAATTTTTTAGCAAAATGAAAGAATGACGAAAAATATGCCCTAATTAAAAATTTTGGGTAAATTACAAAAAAACATCTCCTGATATTTGTTTAAAATACAGATTGTCTCTTATGATTTGAAAAATTATAAATACTTCATTGTCAAAAATTTTAATTTAACAGAATTAACAAAAAAAATAAAATTTCTATCTACTCTCCTATACAATAATAAAATTACCTAAATTATTAATTAAAATAAATTTTTTATATCATTAAAAATTCTTAATTAATTTGATGATGTAATGACCCAAATTTTCTTTTTTTTAATAGCCAATTGTAGACGACCCATTTTGACAGACCTTAAAATTTTAGCATTTTCTTTTGACCATCCCATGATGAAAATTGGAATGTGCAATGTTATGAATTTCTCAACAGGAAAATGAGATTGAAGCCTTGATCCCAAACCTCACCCATTTTTATGCCAAATGAAAAGGTAGTCAGATGGGTTTGGTGGAAAATAGAATATATGATGATGGATTATGGGTGGGATATATTATAGCATGATGATGTTTTCGGTGAGATGGTAAGTCGGATATTTATTTTATTTGAAGATAACATTGAGAGAGAAGTAATGTGCATGAGGGAAGGAACAAAAGCATACACATGAGCCGTCTATTATTACTCTTTCGGTGGGCTATTAAACAAAGGAGGCTGCATCTTATCTAGGAGGGGGGCCAACTATTTTCTGATATGGGGAATTTTTCAAGGAGGGCTTTTTATTCTGCTAGGCCTTTAGAGTTTAGACTAAGAGGATTTTTTTTATTATTTTATTTGTGCTGGGTGTTTTGACAAAGATCAAAGAAGGTAGAAATTTGGGTTCTCAGGCGAGTGTCTAGCTTGGCTAATGGGAGGGAAGAGTCAGCGCTGAATTTAGTATAATCCTGAGCAAAATATGAAACTCAAAATATATGGGGACTGGGTGTGGTATGGTCTACTAAAAGAAAAGAGGAGGTGCTGGAGTGGGGTGAAAAGGAGTAAAGAATATTTTCTAGAGAGAGAGAGAGAGAGAAGGGGCTGATTGTTCTCAATATGCTATACACACTATAGATACATCATCAAGAGAATGGCGGACGATGAAGCAAGAAGAGGAGGGTGAAGCAAGAAGAGGAGAGTGAATGGTGCAAGAAGAGGCTGTCGATGTTCAGAGGTGAAGCAAAGGAGGATCGGTCTCGGGTGGTTGTTGACGGCAATGGAGCCTGTATGGAGGTTGAATGTATCAGTGCAGCTGTGTACCAGTCTGCAATGGAGGGAGCTGTTTGGGTCTCGGAGAAGATAAGGGTGCAGCAAGAAGGAGGTTCGGTCACGGGTGGTTGTGTGTCCTGCAATGGAGCTGTGTATCAGTGTATTTTATATCTACACTGGAGCTGTGTATCACGGCAATGGAGCCTGTGTGTCCGGCAAGTATGGTGGTTGAGTGTACCAGTGTAGCTGTGTATCAGGCGTGGGTCTCAAGAGTGGTCTATTTGGCTATGGAGCTTTACGGCGTGGGCGTGTAGCACCGGTGGGTGCTGGGTGTTGTCAGGCGTGGATGTGTAGTAGGTAGGCGTTGGGAGCTGAGGCAGCACAGGTGGAAAGCTTTAGTTTGAAAAATTGTAAGTGGGCGGGAAAGCTTTGGGGTTTGTTTGGTTGTGAATTCAAAACGTAATTCCACAGGTGTGTTTCAGTATGATGTTTGGTTGTGTGTTTGGAACCAACTTTCAAAACCTCTGCAGAGAGCTCTGTATCACAGCCGCGTTTTTTGTGAAAATTTTGGCCAGGGGAAGACCGCCCGGACGTCCTTGGGGTCATCCGCCCGGATGTCACGTTTCCAAAACTCTGCAGAGTTCTCTGCACAGCCGTGGGATTTTTAGATTATTTTTTTTTCAAAATTTTGCCTTACGGGACGTCCGGCCGGTTGACCGGAATAGTAATTTTTTTTTTTTGCAATTGATTTATATAATCAAAAAAAATATTTTCTGAAATTTTTAAAAATTTTTATGTGCTCTAAAATAATTTTGAGTTGTATGTTTAGTTATGAGTTGTAAATTTTTGTAATCACATATCAAATGTCACATCAATAATTCCCCACTCAAATCAAAACTCTTTTCAAAACTATTTTCAAAACTCTTTACCAAACAAATTTTTTACACTCAAATCATAATTCTACAACACACAAACTCAAAATACAACTCATACTCTCAAATCACATTTACAAAACACAACCAAAGGCAGGCTTGGTGTTTGTTGTTGGGTTTTGATTTGGCTTGGTTTTTGTGGGCAGATTTTGTGGGGTTTTTGTATTTTATTTTATAGTTTAGTCCTTCTTAACTTTTTTTTTTTTTTTTTGTTTAAAAAAATCGTGAGGTCGAGGGGTTGGTTGTATGGATGCGAGTAGCAGTAGTAGGGGTAATTTGTACTTTCCGAATCTCTCTCGATGCATGCCATCTTCCTGTACCATTAATTTCATGTTGTTAATGAAATTTTTACTTTGCCGATCAAAAAAAAAAATCAAGAGATTGGCGGACCCAGTCATTTTATAACTACTGTGTTGCTATATATTTGATACCAAATATATTGGCTGCCTTGCTATTTTATTTCCATTTTTTACGGAGATTTTTGAGAGCATGGTAATTGTTGGACTTCCTCCAAAGTGTGATATTCTGGCACTTCAAAAACAGTACTTTGGGAGAAAGTCAAAAGGCTCGGGGAAATTTCGAAGTGTGCTTAGTGATCAGCATCATTCTCGTGTAGAACCTGACATTGAACCCCAGGTCTTATTTGTTTACCCTCCTGATAAACATCCGCCGCTTAAATATAAAGATCTTCTTTCATTCTGCTTTCCTGGAGGTCTAGAGGTTCAAGCTGTTGAAAAAGCTCCCTCAATGAGTGAGTTGAATAAAATACTTGTTGGGCAGTTTTGCAGGAACACCTCAAACAAAGTGACCTATCGGTCGTATTTCGTTTACAGCGTTTCTTGTTGGATGGTTTGAAGATAAACCTTTTGTTGCAGCATCTGTTGGTTACTTTTCATTTTTGTTTCTTCTAGCTGGAAGGGCATTGAGTGCTTCTTTCACCTCCTATTGTAGTCTATTCTCCAATGGTACTTCCCATATATATTTATGATGCTCATAATTGTCAAAGCTATTCAACAACACAAAAGAGAGAAGAAAAAGGGTCAGCTCAGGCAACCGACACTGTTGGAAATTAGAGTTTTAGAGGTGTTTAAGAAACGCCGCTATAGCTCTTAAAAACGCCGTTAAATCCTTGTGCGGCGTTTATACCAAACGTCGAAGATGCGGCCGTCGCTATAACTCTATGGCGCTTTAGAAACGTCGCTATATTACTATAGGCGGCGTTTTTAAAATGCCGCTAAAAGTTCTTCTAACGGTAACATGACGTCACCATTCTATTTAGTGACGTTTTTAAAACGCCGCCGTATCTGTTTTTCAAAACTCCAACTATTGGTATGCTATTTAGCGACGTTTTTAAAAACGCCGTGATAGCCCATTTCTTTTTTTTTAAATTGTGCTAATTTTATGTTATTGAACTAAAAAAATACCTATAAAAAAACTAAAAAATAGCGATAAATTTTTCGTAGTCAGCCATATTCGATATAAACACAGGCCCATAAGAACCAAATTGTAGATGGAAACAACCAAAGTGTCCATTTGCCACTGGCTGACAATACCAAACCAATGGCTCAAAACCCATCTTTAAGCAAGCATTAGTGTCTACAGGTCTATCTATGGTTCTATCCACTTCCACTACAAAAACATTAGAGACTGTATGCTCTTCTTGAACTCATAAAGAGTTGTAGTTCACAACTGAGACGAGTCAACTGCTCAGGATACATACTATTCCTGCAAAAACATATCAAACCAATTTCAATTATAGAGATCACATGTAACATATCTAATGCTGTTATAGAAAATAGATTTAACAAATGTCAACCCTTCTTGATTCAAGACAGTTCTTCATCCAACAAATCAAATTTAGTTGGTGAATGAAGCAACTTGTGATTCTACTATATTTTCGGTAAGCATCAAGATTTTTCTTTTAATATTTCTCGTAAAAAAAAATCCATTAATATACAGCAGCCTCTGGGCCTTGAGTTGAGGACAAATCAATGGTGACCACAGTTCAATTTTCATGTGGGATGATTGAAATCCTGTATTGTGGTTTGGGTTCTTGACCAATTTAATGGGTATGTTTGATGTGGGAAAGAGCCATTAGGCTGAAATACCCGGAATTTACAACCAATTTTAGAAAAAAACATCACAATAGATAAAAGAAATTGATTTTACAAGTTTCTATACTCACATCTTTTGACAAGAGACTATCCATGTTAAATTCCAACCTTGGATTCACAGAAGCTAACTTCATTGACAGAAACTACAAAATACAAAATGAATACACAATACCCATTAAGTCAAAGTTAGTGACAGCACTAACCCCGTGAAATTTTATTGCTGCTATGTCATAGGCCTCAGCAGCTTCCTCTTGGGTGCCTGAAAATTGCAGTTAAATCAGAACCAGATCGAAATGAAATCAAAACCAGTACAAGAACAGAAAGCCACAGATTGCATTTAAATAGTTGCATTTTTTTAGCAAATTATGTAGCAAAACCACTAATGTCTTGGCAGAATTTGAAATGAGAAGATTTTTTAGCAATTAGATGTCTACGGGAAAAAGTTTTTGCCCAAATAAATTGAGAAGATGCAAAGGAACTCACTGAATGTCCCTAGATAAAGGTCCTTGTTTCCTGCAACTCTGCCTATCCGAGCTTGCCAGCGTCCATGTTGATGATGTCTGTTGAAGATTACATTAGAATTAAAGACCCATAAAGAAGGGCAGGGTCTGGGAACGACGGGATGTACATCAAATATACTTCTACTTATAATTAAAGGAAGCGTGCCAATAAAAATTATAGATTAACAGATGTATGTGCAAAAAATAGTAAGACCTTGTGACTCCTCTGTACATTGAAGCACCCCTTGAGAAGCCACTGCTTTTTCTGCAAAGATCAATATATTAGAGATAAAAACACATCAAACAAAGAAAACAAACATTGTTGTCTAATACACAAGGGGAGAGACTATACCTTCTTAAGTGAGCAACATATTCTTGTCTGGTCATGTTCTTCATATGTTCAAGTTCTTGTTGATAGTTTTTCAGCTAAATCATCAATATACAGAGTCCCATGTCAGTTCAGCTCAGCTCAGGGGTGTTCAAAAAGAAAAGAAGCCAGCATAGAGTCCAAAGGTGCAGCTCAGCTCCAGGTTAGCTCAACTCAGCTCATGGGTGTTCATAATGTACCAATCACAAGTTGCATAAAATTGTCAAAGCTATTCAACAACACAAAAGAGAGAAGAAAAAGGGTCAGCTCAGCTCATCAGGATAAGTGGACCACCTCAGAAGGATATTATTACTATATTGAAGTCTGATACACAAGAAAATAATTAAAATGGTCAAAGTATCCAAAGGTGATGAAATTTAATAACAACATAAAAAATAAAATAAAAAAAATCCTAACCCAAAAACTGTCTTGAGAAGTCTAACCATATCCCCCAAAATCATAACTTTAAAAGCAAAAGAAGAAACCAAAAACCAAAAACATTGAAACCAATTCCAGCGAGTCAACAGTTGAATTCTATATTACTAATTACAGCAAAGGCAGACAGTAAGAAGATGCCCATGAAGAGCTCTGCAGTAGAGTCCTTGAAATAAAATAAAATAAATACACTTGAAACAATTTCATTGTTTTCCTCAAAAAACTTTAAATGTCATTATTTCAATAACAATATATTCTATCATTTTCCATAAAACTCAGAGATTCCCTCTAAAACAAATAAAAACAGAGTGATTAACAAAACTAGACAGTTAATTTGAATGTTATTTTGGGGTGTGGTTTTCATTTGCAACCACCATACCTATACCTTCACCATGTGCCAAATTTTGTGGGTTTGTTGTGAATATTGTTTTGCTGTTCTGGTGACTGCATCTCCTAACTGGTCTTCTAGTTTTTGATGATACAAAAAATGCATAAATATGATAATGGCATCCAAAAACTTATTTCACATTTTTTATTCTCCTTTTACAAGTCCACAAAAAGTGTTACACGAAGTTCTTGGTAATTCCTAGTTTCCTGTCCTCTACACTACATGATTACAGTAAAACATACAGACAGACCCAAACTTTCAGACTAACATTTTTCAACATACAAAACCTAAAATTCATGAGAAAAGAGGCTTTAAACGAGCAGAGACAATGAAAACATACCAATTGTGAGCACAACACTTAAGCATACAACACAAATCGGACTAATTGTAAGTTATATAGAGTTGACCAATTGTGATGAATTGAGACTAGCATTTAAAAAGTTCAGGCCAGCCTGGCCCAATAAGCCTAATTATCAATTCAAAGCCCTTAAAAATGTGGGCTAGTTTCTATTACTTTAGTTATAAAAACTTTGTCAATGAGTTATTGTTAGCTTTAATTATTAAGAATAGATGATAAGAAAAATCTATAAGGAAAAATTCAAGATTGTGATCCTATGTAGAGCCATTATACTCGTGCTAAATTTTTTTATTTTGAACCTTGAATTCTTGCTTCCTTTTAATTCATATAGGCACATATGATGTGGATTGTCATAATCATAGCTGAAGCAGCCACGTGATCATCAATCAAAACAACCTTCTCATTGATTTAAGTCTAAATTTTTAATATATGCAATACATCTTTAACATCTAAATGCATATACATTTTTCTATATAAATTAGAAATCATGGTCAAATCTCTACAATTCATGATTCAAAAAAAAAAGACAATTTTGATTCACAATTTCACAACTATGACAGATACATATCTCACACCCTTACCCCAAGTATGAGTGTCTGACACAAATACACAAGCAACATACATTTAGGATTTCTGTCTATTTTCCAACGTCAAGAGATAATATATTATGGTTTTTAAGCTTTATGGTTGATGACAATTGGAACTCACATTCATAATATCTTCCCAATTAGACATCATAATTACTTCTTTATATAAGAGCTATTGAATAAGATGTGCCAAAATCCATTTATTTTAATTTTTCATATATCCGATTGTTTAATATCATTTTTATATTTTGTGTCAAATCTTACAATTCTCATTTCAATTTGATTCATAATTAGCAAAATTAATATTTTGATTCACAATATGATTTTATCAACTATACACTTCACTACAAATTTTTTGGTTTTCAATAGGCAGGTCAGACAACTGAAATGATTGGACATTTCAAATAGTGCAGATAAAATAATTCCACATTTTAGTGCATTGTTGGATGTTCAAGGCAAAAATATTATTCAAGCTTCTAATACACCCATACAATTTATGTGTGAATTATGAAAGAGCATTGTAAATCTAACCAATCAAAAGCTATGACCTGACCTTAGAAACTAAAGACTCCAGACATCACCAACATAACTCATTTAAATGTTCCGCTTACACTGGAACAACACCTCCTTGGGAAAATAACATTTAAATGAACTTTAGAGATCGATGTGAAAACCAAGACATCCTAGCCAGACAGAGCATAAAACAATATAACAAAATAAGATTGAGGAACAACAAATCTGTATTGATGCAATTCAAATTCTAGCTGTCAATCCATAATTAGTACTTTTCTACATCTGAATTGACAAACTCAGAACTAGATAAATGATAAATACATACCATTTGGTATATCCTTAAGCTGTGTGCCTTGACCCTGCTGTTTACCAGGACTTCACCCTAGTAAACCGAGGTAGTAAACTTCAACATCTGGCAACTCATTTTAACTTCAATTGACGAATCAAATTATGCTATTTAGCTATGTAAAAGTTCCCTGTCAATTGAAGTTTTACATGGCTAAATATGAGAAATGTAAACTTCAGCATCTGGCAACTAATTTTAACTTCAAATGATGCAATGCTACCAGTCAGTTGTATTACCAAATATGAGAAATGTTATATCCAACACCAACCGGAACTGATCCTGGTGTCTCTCTCATTGTTATTCAATGTACTAAATTTCTAACTTCACTCTTAATTAAGTAAACAATTTTTTTCAAAAAAAAAAAGAAAAAAAGAAAGAGTTATTGGATAAGAAGTCTAGAAGGAGAAAGCCATCAGTCCTACAGACAAAGGGTTAATTACACTTTTATCTCCCCTCAACTATCAATGAATATTGCTTTACCACATCAACTTCAATACTATACATTGAGAACCATTAACTATGAAAAATGGTACAAATACCCTTCTTTTGGAAGGGTGGAAGTGAAGCAATTTTTATAGTTGAGGGATCCAAATGTATGGTTTTAAAGTTATGGGGGTAAAGTAATATTCAGTGATAGATCAGGGGGAAAAAGTGTAAAGAAGACTGATAGAAGCAATATCTAGTCCTTCATGCCATCTGTCTACAAGTAATTTTCCACAAGGACTTCACACTAGCACTCCTTTTGGTAATACGCCAAACAATTAGGTAGCCCAATTGAAAAACTAAGTCCTTTTGTGATACATGTGAAATCTCCTTCTGAACAAAAAGGTCCACACAGTATCCTACTTTCCCACAATGACCTGTTTTGAGTCTTTCAGACTTCTTCCAGTTACTAAGAAAGCAGTTATAACTGTCATTGTGTCCAACCATGTCTCCCAAATAACAGTGGGTGTTTTACTCGTGTATCGTGTAGTGGTAGCATTTTGCATTATCAAATTATTCCTTTTAGAATTTCCATTTATTTTTTTATTTGTTTTCCCTCGTCTCTTAAAAGATTGTATCCCTGTCAGGTTTTGACAATAGCAGTATTATTAGTGCAATTAACCCAAAAGATGGAAGAAAGTATAAACGTGCTAAAAAATTTTCAAGTAAAACCACATAGAGAGACAGTACCCAAACAAAATGCCTGATTCCAAGCCGTAAATAATTTCCTCAACAACTTCAGATTGCATCTGCAAGGAAAAAGCACATCACAACATAAAAAGGGAAATCCCAAACTGACGCTTTGTAGTTTGATAAAACAATACATAATATTAGGAAGAAAAAAAATACCATCTCTTGTTCTCTTCAGTGACGTCTGTAGATGCGAAGCCATCCGTTAAGTAGTACCTACAGTCACGAGATTTCTGTTAATGCCTGAATCATATCGACAAATTTAAGAAACAATTTCTTTAACAAAACCCTAATAGCAGTGATAAGACAAACAAAATATAGCACTGGTGGAAAACCATACAGCATAAATATATTACACAAATAGGAAAAGAAAGGCAGTAACAATCTAGAAAACTAAATCAGTGACAGAAACAGGGAATTCACAATCTACTGCATCTTCCAGCAAATCAGCCCATTCAGAGCCAAAAAAAATAAGGCTCAAAATAGAAGGGATTACTATATTTTTGTAACATCAATTGTGACTCTTCCATAATATTACAGCTAGATTAATACTACTACAACTTTGCTTTTTTTGAGTTTCTCATAATATACAGATGTAACTTTATTAAAAATTAAAAATGCTTGAAGCCAACAATGAGACTCTTTATTTATCACACAGACAACAGGACGATCCCTTGCATTATCTCTAATCTTGTTTTAATTCTTTTTTCATAAAATGCACTAAAGACCTTTAATTAACTTCCTGATTACCAAAAAAATCAAAATTCTGTGAGTAATTAATATAAGAAAAAAACAAAATTAACAAAGAATTATTTGCAAGAAAGAGTAGATGGACAATAATAACATTAAATTGAATCAAAGTCTTATAGTACATAATAGAGAAACTGCAGAGAGACTAAACTCAAATAAATGAAGAAATTAATCATGAAATTACATACTGGAATTTAAAAAAATGTTACACTCATAGTTTTTTTGTTTTTTGGGAGCCCAGACGACATCCTTAGAACCACTCACATCTAAACAAACCCACATTTACGTATTAGAAATTCTTACATCTAATTTACACAACAATTAACAAGTAACAATCCCCCCCCCCTTAATTAAAAAGTCCCCCAATTAACACCATTCATCATCGACATAAAAAATTAAAAAAAAAAATTAAAGAAAGAAAGAAGGAAGGAAGGCAGGAACGAACGATATGGCAGATGCAAAAACATGAGCTTGATCTTGAGACGATCTACAGCTTTATTTTTC